ATTTGGTTTTGCTTTCGTTATTTCTTACCTTCCACTCTTTGTAATAATCATCTCGGTTCCCAAATCGAAAAACTTTGCCCATAACTCTGATCCTTCCAGTTTGCATTCTATCGGAATGTTACCTTCCTGAAATTTTATAACTGTTAAGCTTTTTCCATTCCAAACTGCTCACCTTCATTTTAGCTCCTATCTTTGGTCTTCCTCTACACGTCTTCTCGGGAGTTTTGATTTCAATTTCCACGTCATCCTCAACATCAACATCCTCCTCTTCATCATCCACCTCATCAAGAATATTAGCTATTGAGAATCGGGGTTTCTGAAAATTTAAAAACTAGAATATCGATCAGTATACCTTCTATCAGAGAGGATTTGATTGGAGCACCTTTCAAGACCTTCCAAGTCAACAAAATTTCAGAAACTTGAAGTTCTCAAATAAAAACGAGAAAACGATGAGATGACATGTCACACTTCACCACCATAGTGTTCAGCTTTTGCCTTTTTCGAGAGCAGGATACTGTAGAATTGCTCATTTTGAGCTATGTGAAATTTGAAGATATCAAATTTTCAGAAGCTTCGAGATTTTCACACCTACCTTCATCGACTTCCCATCCTCCTCATCCGACGTCGCCGCCCGTTTTGACATCTGTGTCCTCTAGAAGAATTTCAGCAGATAAGTCAAAAGTATCGGTGAACACTAATAAATCACGGAAGCCCACACTCCAGAATCTAGAAGAAGACGTCTTGTCTTCAGAATAGAAGTGTGAATTCCGAAATTTCCAACACACCCGCGGCACCGTTTTGTCAGCTAGGGTGTCGAGATGGGGCGGAGTCGGCCAATTGGTGAGAATCCCTGAAATGTGGGCGGGGTTTAAATCGGCTTCTTTTGAAGAAAATAAGCATAAGATGGAAGGATGATTCATGTTTCAGAGTAACTTTGTTCAGAAAAATGAAGCATCATGATTTTGAAATTGAAATTAATTAGGATCACCGGAGACTTCAAGTTTCGTAGTTTTGTAATTTTGTGAAGTTTTTATATAGCTGACGTACCTCTGGTGCATTTCTATAAGTCCAGCTCTATGCAATTCTTATTTGATTTTTTTAATGTTCATTAAAAGTTTAATTTTCATAAAAATTAGTTCAGCTGCTTAAGATACCGTACCGTAAAGCCTGTAGTAGAAGGAGTCCCCTAACTCTTAGTTTGAGCCAATTTTTCTCGGTTTCTATGAGAGATATCAAAAATCTGTCAACTGATAAAATATTGATCACATTATGATAAAAAGTTTACCAGTTGAAAACTTTTTGATATTTTTTGTAGGAGCCGAGATAATTGAGCTCAAAGTGTGCGTACAAGTTAGGTATGCGTCTATCAAGGAAAATACGGTAAGCCATATTTCTGGTCTGCTGAGTCTCTAATTGCAGTGAGTCCATTTTATAAAGTTTATCAGTAAGAAAGTTTATGTCGTCTATGTGATTTTTTATAAATTCAATTTTTGCGATTTGAGAAGTTTAAAAGAATTAACGTTATACCTACTCACAAGCCGTTAATGTGAAACTCTTTACACAATTACTGCTCGAGTACTACTAGATTTCCAAAAACCTTAAAGATAATTTATGACACCCAAAAAACGCATTCACTAACCCAATCGAACATCTACAGGCTGATTGTAAAATAGAACAAAAGACAGAAATAGAAAACACAGAGGGAGAAATACAGTAATCTCCATTGACTAATTATCATCACACATTCTTGGGGGCGATGGAGATAGGGCCTCGCGTTTTTATGGCTCTCTTTTATGGTTCTCACAGATAATGGTTTATGATCTGAGAAGGCAGGGGAAGAAAAGATTAGAAGTGACAGGGGTAATTAGTATAATTTCTGATATCAAGTTATTTGATAGGAAAGTGTTTTTCAGCTTGTGCACATTTAGTAGAAGTTCTACAATCCCTTCCCATAGCAAAAATTAATATATTGGAAAAGTTGTTTAAGGTCTGAAAAAATTATTTTACAAGTTTTGGTTTTGATCAGTAACGAACTTTACTTCTCTCTGAACGTTTACCGTATTTCCTCTAATAGGAGTCCACTGAAACCGTCAACTTTGAGCTCAATTATCAAGATTCCCGTGAAAGATACCAAAATTTTGTCAACTGATAAAATATTGATAATATTATGATAGTTAATTAATCAGTTGACCCATTTTCGACATCTTGCAAAGAAGCCAAGAAAATTTAGCTTGAACTTAACAGTGTGGGAGCCCTTCTGGTACAGGTTTTACGGTGGCTGTGAATTTGAAATTGCCGATTTCTTAAATTGCCAAATTCTTTCATCTACTATAGGGCTTCCTTTTTCGCTGTAAATGCATTTTCCTGTTCAAAATCTTCATTGTCAATACATCCAATATATTTCTAACAAGAAAACCCAGTTAGAAAATATTTTAACTCTAAAAACCAAAAACCAAACTTTACTTCTCAAAATTACACTCTCATAACCATTTCTGTCCAAATAATCATTTCGTTGGGATTACTGTACCTCTCCCTCTTTCCCCCAAAATTTTCTTTTCAAATCAACACACGAACAGAAGAAGATCATCGTAAAAACTGCGACACGGCGGCAAGAAAAGAAGAAAATGGTGGTTGTGGTAAAACACGGTTCGGTTAGTACCTTCTCAAATCACTCGTGGTATTGTTGTTATGATAATAAGGTACTTAAATATTGGGTCTTTTTGTTCATCCTGGATTGTAAATGGAAGAAGGAACACATGTATCTAGTGTACTGGAGAACAAAAAAGAGTAAGGGATAGACTTGGGCATTCGGACAAACCGGCAAACTTCAAACTGGCATAGAATCTAGAGGTGGGCAGCTCACCCAAAAGTCCTAAACTCATGGGCTAAATGATTTTTTTTTCAAACGAACACACAGTCAGAAATTCATAAAGTCATAAAACTAATCCATTTCAAATTTGGACCTTCATTCCTTCCTTCTCCCCCATCAGATAGTGATCTTCCCCTCTAAAGGAGGGGGGTTGACACAGACATAGATGTATCAATTTGCACACTTCTTCAAAAGATTACATCTAGTTTTGTTTCTGAAGAGCACACATTGAGACATACCCCAAATCTGGTGGCATTTACAACGGGTGAGGGTGATTTATGGGTGTTTTACGCAATCTTTCACACACTTACACCCATCCAGAAAGTTAACTAGAGATGGTGCTGAAGATTTTTGGGTAGATGGAAATTTGGTATCCCCGAAATTTCTCATTTGTCAGAGTTGAATTCTGGGCTTGGAAGGCTTGAAGTTGAATAATTCAGAAACCAGAAATGCCAAAACCTAGAAATCTAGAAATTTAGTGATTCGGACTTCAGAAGGTAATAAGTTCGAAGATTCATACAGTAATTCAAACTTACGAGAAACAAAAAAGCTTGCATAGAATTCTTAGAGAATTCTAGAAATTAAGATTTTCTGGGAATCTTTTCTGGGAATCCACAGCTTCTTTTTCAGATTCGAAGACTTCAGTTATGATTTGAATTGAGAAAATTCCGTTGGTTCAACTTTGGAACTAAAATTATTCAAGAATCCTCACAATTAAGATTTTGAAAAAAAAACGAACACCTGGAAAATTAATTTAAAAAAACATTCATGAACTGAAAAATTCAGAAAAAAAACGCCCCTGTCTGTAATTCAATAAAATAATTCTGAACAAGAAAATGTGAGTCCTCATTCCTCAACCATGTGAAATCCCAGTAAATATTGCTCATCACTTCAAACATTTTTCATTTCAACATCATCATTACCATCACCATCATAATCTTTTCCATGTTTTAAAATTTTTCAGTAAGGACCCCACGGGTGGCAATACTCCATGTGGGTGCGCTAATCCGTGTCTTCTCCTCTTTTTGCGGGTAAAAGGAGAGAACATTTTGGGTAATCCCTTCAGTTTTGCGACGACGTCTTCTTCTTTTCTCCCCCGTCTGTGGTGTAGATGCGGCGACAAGACAGACACACACTTTGTTATCACTTTAGAAGATCTTTTGGAACCCCGACGACTTGAATTTGCACATTCCCAAATGGAGCACAGATTTTCGCAGAGGGGAAGTGAATGATGAATTTCGGAATGGAGCTCAGAGAATGAAAATCTGCAGAAATCGAAGAAAGCTGAAGCTTGATAGTAATGTGCCACAAGTCCGCATCTAGTACAGTAAGACCTGTAATAGAAGAGCCCCCACATCGTCATGTTTGAGCCAATTTATCTTGGCTCCCATGCAAGATATTTAAATTGTGTCAACTGATATTGATGTTTGTGATATCATGATAAACATTTTATTAGTTGACAACTTTTTAATATCTTCGACAGGAACCGAGGTAATTGGCTCAAAGTTTTTTAGTATGATTTTTAGCTCATTTTTTCTATCGCCCACATTCCCTTTATTTCACTCACCATTATATAATCTGCTCGTTGACAGAAAAACCACACCATTTCTTTTTTGTTCATGTCTTGACTTTCATATTTCACGAGTCAAAAAAAGAAAATGTTTGAATAGTGCCGCGAAAAACGGGAAAAAAGTGTTTCTATATGAGACACAAGAAGAAGTGTGGTGTCTCGTTTGTCACCCTCTTCAAATTCAGCCTCCAGGGGACCATTTTCAGAGGAAAAGTCGCAAATGTGCGAGAAAACGAGAAAACGATGAGATGACATGTTTATTGCAAATTATTGCAATTTCTATGTTTCTAATAGGTATGCTAACTTGTCTTATAGGTATGGTAACTATCCTAATAGGCATGGTCACTATTCTAATCTGTATGGTCACTTTTCTAATGGGTATGATAACTATTCTAATAGAGATGGTAACTATTCTAATAGGTATGGTAAAGATAATGGAAACTAGTAAACTCAAAAAATAATAAAAATCGAAAAATTTATTAAAACTTAACAATTGTACACATAAAGAGATTTTCGGTTGCATCTGTTGTTTTTGAATTTTTGGCACATACAAAGAAATCGCTATTCAAAAGATCTTTTCTTAACTGACACGTTTTTAGCACCAATTCTAGTTGTCGACCGGTTGTAAAGGAGTAGATGGTTGTGGAAGTTTGATGGGGCATCGGATTCGAAATATGGTACCAAGACGGACCACCAGGACCTGCAGCCATACATTTTAGTTTTTAATTTTCTAATTAGGCTAATTACCAAGAAAGTGGATTATTCTCGAAAGTTCCATTATGATAGGAAGCAGCGAGGGCGTGATATTCCATGAAGACTCTAGTGGATACTGTGTATCCTAACACTATATCGATCATATAGTGCTTTCTGGCTAGAAGAATGGAGAACAAGGCGGTAAATGCAAGAACATGGTAGATGTGGGAGAGTGGCTGAACATTTACAGGTTTCTTGTATGGCAACCTCTTGGGCTTGCTTACCTGAATTCGTTGCGGCGCGTAGGTTTTGAAAACCAAGAAGGCTGTGAAGATGGTGAGAGTGTGTCCAGACACTATCAGATCTCCACAAAGTTCTCTTGGTCGGAGTTGTTCGATTCCTGCACTCCAGAACATTTTGACTACTCTCCCAGCGACCAGTTCAAATGATGAATTGGATTTTGGAGCGCAGTAAGTGTTCACAGAGGGGACAGGGACCTGGAAATTTTGATAGATTATGTTTGGCTAAGCTAAGCAGAGATGGAAATGGGCAAGTCAAAAAAGCTAGGTTGAAGGTACATTACCGGTCAATAATATATAATCCAACCAACCTGGAAGATAGTGACACAAAGTGCCCGGAAACAGTAAGCCATTGCGATGCAGAAGAACGTCCGTCGAATCACAATCCATCTGTGTTGATGTGTGAACATCACCAACAAAGCACTAATAAGCAAAATGATCATAATGTATTCAGCTATCCGAATCGCTCCACGAATTTCTGGGAAGTGTGAGAAGAAGAGGTCGGGAAGAGGATGATAGTCATAGGGTACTCGTTCGTGCACCCAAGCAAGTGCTACTTCGTTGGACAGCCAGCCGAAACCCTGGAAATTTCATAAATCGCATAAAAACCATTTTGTCAGTTGACCAATTTTTCATATCTTGCAAAGGACCAAAGAAAAACAAGTTCAAGCTTGACCGTATGGAGGCCCTTATGTTACAGGTTTTACGGTAGTTGTGAGAGTACCGTAAAACATGTAATAGAAGGGCCCTTTAACTTTTAACTTCAACCCAATATATCTCGGTTTCTGTCAAAGATATAAAAAAGTTGTCAACAGATAAATTGTTTATCATAATATCGAAAATATTTTATCAGTTGACACTTTTTTGATATCTCTTATAGGAACCTAGATAACTAAGATCAAACTTGACAGTGAGGCCCTTAAGTTACAGGTTTTACGGTAGTTGTGAGAGTATCTACTACAATATTCTGAATTCACGACCCAATTCTGAAATTTCGTAATTGTAAAAAATTAAATCACATCATAACCAGTTAACGAAATGTGGCTAACAACTAATAAAAATTAGGCAAACAGTGTGATCACTCAACGATCATGATGTGTTATCAATTGGTCTAGACCAACTAGAGTCTTTCAAAAAATGAACTATGATGCAGTTTTCAAAATACGACGTACCACCATAACTGTCGCCACAATCGTTGGCCATTTGCTAACTTCTTTCAGTTTTCCTTCGGCTTTTCCAGCTTCCACATCATCGTCTATCGGATAGCTTTTGTCGGGTTTAATGAAATATCTGGAAATAAAATTTTGGTCAATTGGAGCATTTTTAAAATCATTTTGACACCAATTACCATAAACTCTCTAATAGAATACCACCCCAATCGTTAATGTTAAGCCTCACATACCGTGAACACTCTAATAGAACGCCATACAAATCTTCAGATTTGAGCCCATGTATCTCATTTTCTGTGAGAGATATCAAAAAGTGGTTGACTAATAAAATGTTGCTGATATTATAATAAACATTTTATTAGTTAATAACTTTTCGATATCTTTCAAAAGAAGTGAGATATATAGACTCAAAGTGGACGGTCTGGGTGGCGTTCTATTAGAGTGTTTACGGTATCTCGTTTCCTGTGAAAAGTATCAAATAGTGGTCAACTGACAGAATATTTTTTGATAATATAAAAATCATTTTAACAGTTGACAAGTTTCTTATATCTTCCACAGGAACCGAGATATTTGGGCTAAAAGTTAGCGGTTCGGGTGGCCCCTCATGAGTAAGCAAGAATGGGTCAATGTGTGAACTACAAAAATCTGTATTTTGCAAATTTCAAAGTTTGATAACTTTGTTGGAAACGAAAAATTGAACATTCTTAAATTAGACATCTAACAAAACTTACTTTGAGCTCTGATCATCGTGTTCGTATGCGTAGAGTAGTGTTTCGTTTTCAGCGTCCTTTTTCATCTGAAAATTAGTTTTTTTGGATTGAATGAACTTCAAAATTTCGAGAAGTTTAAAAAAAAAATCGAAAAAATGGAAATTCCCCGAAAGTGTAATACAACAAAAAATTCGAAAAGAGCTCCCCATTCTTTGGGACGGGTTGCTAGGATCCTCCGCAAACAGAGCAAGTCCTTCTTTCTCAAATTCTAAAAGAAGAAAAAAAATGTTGCTAAGGAATGAGGGTGCAGAAAAAAAGAAGAATATTGAAGTGATGTGTGTTGCTCTTTTTTCTCCAGGGGCACACATACATCTGCATCAAATAAGAAATAAATAAGAGAGAACTCATTTCGGTTTTAGCTTACCTTTTCCCCTTTTCTCGTTCTGATTTGATTTCTTTTTCTCATTTTCAGCTTCATTTAAAGAGCAGCAGCTGTGATTTTCTAAGAAGAAAAAAGTTTTTTCAGGTTGATTGAACATAAAAATAGAGCACATTTTTGGAAGAGATCTTTCAATGAACTTTCGGTCAGAATGATTTCGTGTGTGGGAACTGATAAAGATTGACGGATATCCGTTGTTCTTTAAAAATGTCTAGAATGCTGGAATTTTCAAACAAAACTGAAAATTATGAAATATGTTCGTAAACCCTATATGTTCGTAAATATTTCGTAAACCCTGTATTTAAATCCCCCCCCCTAACTTTTAACTCTAAATCAATTTACCTAGATTCCTGTTAAAGATACGAAAAAGTTGTCAACTAATAAAATTTTCATTATCATATCACAAACATTTTGTCAGTTGACCCATTTTCAAAATCTTCTATGGAATTCAAAGATAATTGAGTCCAAACTTCACAGTGTGGGGGAGCTTCTATTACGGTATATGATTTATAAACCTACCATTTTTAATAGATTTGGATAGAACAAAACAAAAAAGGAGCATGGGAAGTTTTAGAAATTATTAGAATCAAGAATCGAGAATAGGAATAGGAATTGGAATTGGAATTGCTGACAAATATCAAAAATAAGATTATACTTTAAAAAACAAGATTCAGAATTGGAAAACAATAATTTAATAGAAACTCAAATAATACAAAAAGTCAAATTCCTCAATTTTTAAATTTCAAAATTAAAAAAAAATCAAAAGTGACGACTTCCAAGCTATTTGAAGCTTCATAATTATACGGAAAGTCGAGTTTCCTAATATTCTGGCTCCTAAACTCAACTGATGTATATAAGAAACTTTTGTGACGAATTCCGTAGCCTCCTCCTCCTCCTCTCTTTCAGTGAAAATCAAAAGTCAGAAACTCCACAATTTCGATTCTAAGGGAAAGAAACTGTGACCAACACTGTGACACCTCCTTCTGGTCAACTGATAAAAACGTTTTGGGGCAAGAATAATAATGTGTTCCGTTTTTTGCGTCATGGTGACATGTGACTCTTTCCTGGAGTGCCTTCGACGCGAAACCATACCAAAAAGTACCAATTTTATACATACTTCATAACAACGATCATAAAAATCGTGTCATGACGGATACTAAACGCTATAAAAATCTCATAAAAATGTCATTTCAGAATCGCTCTCGTTCTTTATATGAGCGTCATGAAAAAGTAGCTAAATTGAATTCTTTTGCAGGTGTATTGGATGGTGTTGGGCGCCGAGCCCATGGCAACATAGTTCACTTCATTGATCATTTCAGAGAACGATTTTCAAGGGAAACCTCTAGAAAATTGAATGCCAATTATGTAGCTAATTATCTAAAACTACCTCACTGTAATACACAAAAGTTGATTAACGATGTGCACCTTGTATTTGAAGTACTTTCTCTAATAAAAGGCCATCTAATACATCCACTTTGAGTTCAATTATCTCGGTTCATTTGAAAGATATGAAAAATTTGCTAACTGGTGAAAAATTAGTGGTATTATGATAAACAGTTTATTTGTTAACAACTTTTATATATCTTTGACAGGAGCCAAGATAATTGAGCTTAAAGTGCACATATAGGTTGGGCTTCTATTAGAGCAAAGTTGGAAGATTCGTTGTATTCTTCTCGAGTAATTGGTAATTGAAGAAAATTTTGAAATTTAAATTTTCCATTGCTTTAGGAAGAAACATGTTTGAAGTTTCGAGTTATTTAGCTTTAAATCATAGTTGCAGCGGGCTGGCTGATAACTTGTCCCTAGAACGAGATATTCAGACAGTTTTGATACAAAATAATAGATCTCGACAGGCTCCTTGTTTTTCATGATTTGAGGTTTGATTTTGATGAACACTGAACTTATTCGACCACACTCCAACTGATAAGAAAATTTTCGGATTGTGCAAAGTTCGTGGTCTATTGTGAAATCGCAATAGTTTTGGATGATTATATCCTAGAAGTTTTAGTACTAGTTCGTAAAGTTCTGGGGTCTGCATTTCGAAAATAATTACCATTATTGTTCTAATAGACTCCCACTTAGAGCTCATTTACTCGATTCCTATAAGAGCTTTCAAAAATCTATAAACCGATAAAATATTTATCATAACATTATCAATTTTTCATCAGTTAACAAATTTTTGATATCTCTCAA